CCAAAAAAATATGGAAAGTAATGTAATTAATATTTTAAGTTAAATAATTTATTTTTAGATTTTTAACTGATTTATAATTATACGTTGATTCTTTTATGATTTTAATTTTTTATAAATAATATTAAAGATGTTCATCATTAGTGTTCTAGTAGATGCTGGTCTAGTGTAGTAGAATTTCCTTTAAAAATAATAATAATTTTTTATCACTAAAAATTAAGTAGGTTCTAATGCCGCCGCCTCAGTGGCAGTGGTAGTTATGGAAGTGCCCTGTTTTGTTTTCTGAGAATGAGAAGCATTGCCTGTTGATTTAAGTGAAGGTTTCGTTTTCCATAGCAATGATTTCGCACGTTTTCCATGGCCGTTGTCGTTATTGATGCTGCCACTGATGTAGGGCAAGGAGTCGATGTTTGTGCATTATTGGTGCTATTATTCGGGCTCCTTTCTTTCACTTTATCATTATTGCCGTCTCTCTCGTCTTCCTTTGTCTCTTGTCCGTACATCTCTTCCACCATAGGTTTCCACAGCCGAACCCTGGCGTTTATGAACCAATTTGAAACCTGCATTAACATATACATATGATTAAGGGCTCTTTTCAGAATCTAATTCTGCAAAGTAAAAGCTTTCTACAATAGTTGTGAAAAAGCCAACCTGATTTCTCGAAAGACCAGTCTGTCGAGCCAGCAGATCCTTTTCTGCATCGCTTGGATACCTGAGAACCATAAAACGACATTAGATCATGAAATTCTGCAGATAAATGCCTTTCTCATGGTTTAATAAAGTTGTTCTTTTATAACTAATTTCTGGTCTTTAACAGTTTTTTTAACTGACGAGACAACATCTAAGAATACTGCGTTATTCATGACAGCTTATCTTTAAGAAATTGCAGATGTAAGAGTTTACGAGTAGTGTGAGACAAAGACAACGTACGGGTGGAGAAAATGTTCGAAAAGCCAGGCCCTTAAGATGTTGACAGATCGTTCAGGCAGGCCCCTTTGGGGTCTCCCATGTTCATGCTCCATCATTCTACCATTCATTTGGTTCAACGGAGTTCCATCTTTCTCTCCAAGAACCACATAGTTGCGCTTCAATTGTGCTGATATCGAATCCTTCAAGCGCCTGAAATGTCTTGACATTGCCTGCTGAGCAAGTGCAGTGTACGGCACTGCTGCACCATTGCCCGTCACTTGGTCCAATGAGTCCACCATCATTTTCACCTGTTCACAGTAAAGCTTGTATCTCCTCTCCACCTGCAAACCATAAATAAGTCACTGCTTTGCTGTTAATCACAGAAATCAATGATATATGATTTGACGTTGGTGAAGTTTTAATCAATACCAACTAGAGTACCCTATTGCACCAGCAGGCTTTGCTTTGTCTGTGTTTGTTAATTTACTATTCACTATCTTGAAGGAGAGACAATTTGAGAAGAAAGAGATTACATGCCTCATCAAGCATGGCTAAAAGTTCGACCTTCCTTTTTTGATGTTCAATTTTTTCAGTTGATGATAAAGGAGGGAGATCATTTGTCAATGAAGAAGAACCACTAGGATAAGAACTAGCTGGGTTTGTTTTGTTTCGACTAAACTTGTTCTTCTTCAACTTGCCTCTTCCAACACTACAGAATTCTTCCAACAATTCTTGAGCAAATCTAACATACTTTGAGTTTCTAAGCACATTGACAATTCCCATTGAGAATCCGAGCCCAACATGAGCCTGGTTGTAAAACGGAAGCTCGCCATCTTTGACCTCCAAATGTGGAAAAGATGATGATAAAGATAGTGAAAGACCTTGACTTTCTAAAACACCTCCAATTTCGCTTGGGTTGTTGACTTGGGAAACATATTAGCATTATCAGGAACCCAAGTAAATGGAGGTGGAATTAGTACAGTGCTTGTACTAAAAGAAGACCCTCCAGGACCTTGAAGAGAAGTTGATGAAGATGGTGATCTTGGAAGCGGATTCATCAAGAAAAGTTGTGTGGAAGCTGCTGAGTCTGCATTAATGTTAGGTAACTGTTGCTGATGGTTAAAGTCGCTCTTTGATTCACCTGCCGGCCCGTGTGCTTGATAATTGGGCGGTAGAGCTGGGTCTAATAACTCGGCGGAAGCGGTGGCGGCCGGTATACCCGAAGAAACATCGAACATTTCGGATAACATACCTGATGTTTCGTAAACAGGAAGAGCGTTTGATTCTTCCTCTCCGAGTGGAGGTGGCGACTCAGAGCCTCCAACTCTTAGCTGGAAGCCATTCGAGCTTCTGAAGACTGCAGTAGCTGCTTGGTACATGGAATTTGTAGGGTTCATATTGCTATGGAAGTGGAATTTGATGGTGAGACTTGGATTGTTGGGACGAAATTTGGTGTAAATATTTCCAGTTTCAGTATCCTCTTTTGCTTCATGATCATTTATTCATTATAAATAACAACATATTGCCATGAATTATGAAAGAGAAGAATAGGTTAAAGATGTACTTATATATGGAGTATCTCCGTCATTTTCTTGAATTCTCACTTTTTTACTGCATATGTGTTATCCTCTGTATCTACCGTCCCTTTCTTGTGTTGTCCCTCAAATGATTTTGCCGGGAAGAAAATCATATATAATAAAATTTAATTAATTTCTAATTATGTACTTTAAAAATAGCTTAGAGTCTACATTTTTAATTTTATAAATAAAATAAATTTTATTCAAATACCATTTGTTTAATTTGAGTTAATAATTTGATTTATTGAATCTTATAATTATAAAAAATATAAGTAATTATAAGTTTTCTATGATTTATTTATCTAGCGAACTTGAACAGACGTCGAATATCATAATTAATTGTTCAATATAAATTTTATATAACAATGTGAATGGAATTACATCCATTAATTCTTTCTTAGAATAATTTTTAATTAATATTTAATCTTTTTATAATATATATAATTAAAAGGTTAAATTTATTTTTTATTATATTATTTCGATTATTTCTTTTATATATAGTCAATAGTTTTCGTATTATGTTACACTGAATTATAATTATAACAAAAGTTTTAATTTTTATTGATGGTGATATATACAGGAGTTCATTTCTCGATTTTAATTGAATTAATCGGTCAAATCAAATTAATACGGTTAAAACGAACGGTTATCAAATTAGTTTGGTTTGGAGAATGGTAATTTTTTTCCTAATATTCTGTTAGCAGTTATTTCAGTTCGAAATCAGTTAATTAACGGAATTAATTGAATTAATCGAAAATATTAAATATATTATATATTAAATACATATTTTAAGCTCAAACTCATTAAGAATTGATATTTAATTATTTTTTAACTACACTAAATTCACTAAATTGTCAAGATTTAATTAAAATTTAACACAAAAAATATACCTTTAATAAACTCAAATTAATAATATATATATATATATACAATTCGGTCACCGACCGAATTAATCGAAATTTGTTCGGTTCGATTAATATTTTTTAAAAATCGATTCAATTAACATCAAAGAAGAAAACTTCGATTAATTCAATTAATGAGGATTTAATTTAATAGATGATCGAATTAATCGATTCCACAAAAGGGTGCATTAATATTTGTAAAAAGAAAACAACTTCGAGAGATGCTTCCCCCACATAGAAATGGCTAATAAGAAAGGTTCTAATCGGATGCCAATTCAACAACCATCCAACTAGGGATTAATAGAGGATCTTTTCTTAAAAAAATTAATTTTTTTATCTTTTATTGATAATATATTTTTGTTCCGTTAAAGTTTTATAGGATGAACTACATAAATTATCTCTCGATTATAGGATGCTACTTTGTTGAGTTATCTGATTATTAAAAGTTACAAAATATTCTTTTGATTATAGGGTGTTGTTAATTGGAAAAATGATAAAATCATATTTTAATGATGTCTACTAATAAGATATGAGCTCTGTTGGGGTCCAAATGGGCCCCAGTCCCTGTTAAAAGTATAGTATATTCGATATAATTTTAGTCTAATAATATTTTGGTTCATGTAAAAATAAATATTTAAATTAAAAAATATAAGAATTTATTAAATATTTAATCTAATAGGGGTCGAACTAAAGAATTATAACCTCATATTCTCAAATTTTTGGTCCAATGATAATTTAAATAATTGTAAGTTTAAATATTAGACAAATTAGGTGTTGTCTTATGAATTTTGAGTTTATATTATATATATATATATATGGGTGAATACAATGTACTATTTGTACAAAAATTCTCAATTACTTGACAATGAACGCTTATTCCTTTACATACGCAATGTTCAAACTCAAAACCTCAAGGATAACAACAATCCTTAATCATTAAGGTCGCTTGGTTCATGTTGAATTTTGAGTATGAATACAATAACTCATTTTATTTTTCTTAAATAGTCTAATATTCTAGCCTCTGTCAATACTCCTGGTTCCGTCCCTATCTACTAATACTCCCGTTGCTTTCAAGCACTAGTTCAATGACACAATATTTCAAGCAATAGCTCGACGACATAATATAAACGTAAAAATAAGATTTTATCATATTTCAAAAATAAGATTTTATCATATTTCAGTCAATAGGTTAACGTCCAACTCACAACCACTATTTCTTAAATAAAAAATGAGATGTTTGGAACATATGAATAGTCGAATGACCATTTTATAACTTTTAATAACCAAATGACTCAACAAAGTAACGCCCTATAACAAAAAAAACTATTTATATATTTTATCCAATTTTATAAATCCGTCCCTATCATAAAATTCTACATCATCCAAGCATCCAACAACCACATAAATTACACGTATCAAAGCAACACTCTATGGTTATGGTCGATATTTTACTTAACAGCAACATCTTATTATTATGCCCAAAAGACGTTAGTTATGGCAAGGCTATTTGTATATTACTTGCTATAGTTTTCGATATTTCGCCTTCTGCTTGCTGAAGTATCCTTGTAGCATGCTTCAATGATTATTTGAAGAGCATGAACAAGTCTAAACACATTTAATCATTCATATTGAAATTCAATCCGATCATTCAAGATTCTTTTGGCTGTATATAAATGTACAAGTTCATGATTTGAGCATATAAGAAACTGTCAAGAATTGCATACTGGGTTTCCCGTATGAAAAATGGGTTGGAAAGTAGTGAGGTGCTATAAAGAAGGAAGGAGCCAAAGATTGAAGAGAGATGAAGCAAAGGATAGGAACCAGGACAAGAATGCCATCGCAGCAGAAAACTGAAACCAGCTACATAACTTCGACGGGCAATACGACGTGCCGGCATTCGCCAAGAGGCTTGTAACGCTAGCAGTTGAGCAGGCCGCGGCCAGTGAGAGGAACGACAAGGCCTGCGATGAGATTAAACACCATTTCCCCATCAAGTTGTGGAGAAAAGAGATAACATCATAGTGACAATTAGCCAAATAAAAACTTTGCTACATACCCAGTCTCCAACGATGACGATCAGCAGTACCCTCGGTTGTCGTGGTAAGCATTTGATAAACACAGAATACGCATCGACCAATGCCAACGACAGGCTCCATGGCGCTACCAAGCCCATGACCGTCACCAGGTAGCTGCAAACGTTGAAAGAAAAAGAGGAAAGTAAGTAAATCATCCTCAACTATGTCAGCAGGGGTGGACCAAGGGAGACTGAAGAATGTGATCGTCCTAAAAATTTCACATTTCCATATATTTTAGTTTTCATATAGTATGAATAAAATATATTATGATCCTTACCGAAGTCTGATAGTTAAGCAACAGAGCATATGATCTTTGCTAAATCCCAGAACCCCAAAGAACAAATAAAAGAATTGCATATAGTTCATTTGACTTGGCTTGCTTCAAATTTCGAAAGGAAAAATAAATGGTAGTTTTCCCCAGATACTTCCAGTTCAAACCCAGATATCAATTATCAACTCAATAAACTAAATTCCAACACAGCATGAACAAAAACAAAATATTGATCCAGAAAATAGAAGAGTTGGAGCTTTGGGAATCACCTGAAAGAAGTATAGCTATAGAATTCAACACCCAAACACATGAACAGGAGCGAAGCGGAGGAGAAAATGATTTGTCCCAAACGAAGAGCCAAGCTAGCGCTAGTTCCCAACGCCCCTGGAACTTGCTCCATCATAATCATGTTTCATGCCATCTCATCTCTCTGTTTCTTCATCTTTAATTTCCCCAACAAGAAAAACAAAACAGAATTCCAAAACAAGTTGAAAAACAGGCAGAAAAAAGAACACTTGGTCTCCAAAATCCCGGAGAATTATGTTCACAAAAATGGTTCTGGCTTTGGGTTTGTTTCCTATGATGACGAAATTGGAAGGGAAAGAGGAACAGAAGAGATTGCGTTTTAGCTGAAAACAGCATTATATTATTCCACATACTTTCATTCATGTCTTATTCTTCGTACTATTATCTTCCTTCTTGTATTTTAGATTTCAAAGTCAAATGTGAATGTTAAAACAAAGAAAAAAGGAAATGAAGGAATAATTGAATTTGACAAGTTGATATGAGTTTGAATAATTAGAACCACACAAAATGGGTTAGCAGGCCAGACACTCCGAACCCTACAAAAAAGTTTGTTCAAGAGAGAACCAATTCCTTTCAATAGGCTTTAATTGTATTTAAATCATATCTTTAATCAAATAAATAATAGGTTGGTTGGTTGATCTGCCATTCATGTTGGAACAGCTAAAACAACGAACCGAACATGTCCGTTTCATGATTCAATCATTTTGCTTCCCAATGTTCTTTTGATGTTTTAAATATTGTCTGACAACCTCCTCCTCCCCCTTTCATTCTCTGTCTTTGTCTGCAACTTTTATCTTCTTCTTTTTTTAAAAAAAAATTTCTTCAAACTAAACCATCTTAGCAATACCAGGCTAGAAACCTAAATGTGTATAACCTATTTCTATGAGACAACACAATTATATGTGCATAGGCCACAATGCAATAGTTTCATGAAAAATGCAAAATGTTGAATTGGTTTAAACTATGAAACATGAAAATTAACTTCCTCCCTTCTGAGAAGACTTTAAAACATATTATTTACGTATATTATTGAATCAAACGTTAAGATGCGTTCATTGCGTGAGTGATGATCTATAAAATAATTATGCTATATATGATTTAAATTTTAATTGATAATTAAGTTGAATTTTATTATAATTTTAATAGCTGAAAATTACTTATGATTAATTTTATGGGTAAAGTACACAAATGGTCCCCTGGCTATATGCTATTGCATTGTTAAGTCCCCAACTATCATAAGTTGCAAAATGGTCCCCCGACTCCTAAAAGTTACAAAATGGTTCCCAAGTATTCATATGTTCTAAACTCGTCTTTCTATTAAAAAATTAACGACAGTCTGAGTTTAACGTTAACATATTAATTGGGATATGATAGTTGTTTGAGATTTTGGAATTAGATTTTATCATATCACAGTCAACATGTTAACATCTAGCTCAAATTATAATCACTTTTTTAACAGAAAAGAACGAGTTTGAAACATATGAATAACCGGATGATTATTTTATAACTTTTAATAGTCAGAGAACTCAACAAAACTAAACTCTATAGTCAGGGGATCTATATGTGTACTTTATCCTAATTTTATTTAGGTAAGAATTATCATGGAGTAGCGATTCTTGATGTTCAAGTTTGTTTTTAGATAAATTTTATAGAAATGTTGAAGAAAGTTGTTGCATACATCATATTCTAGAATATATGTAAAGTTACCATATTAAATATAGTTTCTTACATGTGATATATTTCAAGTTAAACTCGTATTATTTATTTTACTAACAAGTCCCTGATATTTTCGAATAGGTATAAATAGGTTAAACATGGGTGGATCAAAGCTATTCTTTTCAACATTGCCGTCCGAGAGATCAAACTCTGAAACCCATTAATCTATTTTCATCTCTACAAGAAAAGTGGGCCACTAGACATCTCGGTTGACATTGTTACCAAATGCAGGGGATGTATTTTATACACAGCTATAAAACACGAACACTTTTGACTTAGGAGTGTTTAAATATCGAACACAACTTTGACAACAATTTGAATTAAAAAATGTACCGAGTTAAGTAATTTTATGAGGAACCCATTTTTGAAGCGCAATACTTCTATTAAGAAAGATGTCCAAGTGTCTGGATATTTTCGATATAGGCAAGATTCTTACAAGGAAAAACATGTTAAACATGATAAAAACATTAGAAGAAGCTAATATGCAGAAGATAATAAGCTCAGTGTGCTTCTCATGGGATTACAGGAAATTCTAGCAAACTCGAGGCCTCAAATTATACAAAGAATGATCACATTCATAATCACTCTATGAGTCAAGCTGTGCATACCAGATACCAGTGATCTTCACATCCTTTGGAGTCTTGGCTCCCAAGTCAGTGTCCAATGGCTGAAGGCTCTCAAACACACCGATCACTTCGCCGGTCTCCGGTTTGCTTTTTGTAACACTCAATGTGATTTTCCCCGATGAACTAGCAGCACTCTTGTTGTTCTCCTTAGATAGCTCTTCCTCGTCTCCTCTCCCGCCTCTCCCGCCGGCAGGCAAGGCAACGGCATTGTCGTAACCGGTTGAACCGCCCCTTCCTTTTGGATCCAAGAAAGACGAACCACGGTAGGAGGGTACGAGGAAGTATCCACTGAAGCTCTCAGGTTTGCCTGATGCAACAAGTTGCTTGATGGTGAAAAGGAAGGGCACACGTTCCCCACCAGGGAGCTGAACTGTAACAGCAGCGTAATCGATTCCATCTTTCTCCTTGAATTTGACAGTGCCATCGGTAGACACTTCGAAAGGACCCTCGATTTCGTCGAGGTTGTAGGTTAAATGGGTCATCAGCTTGGTGTTCTGGAACTCAGGAGGGGCATTCTTGCTAACACCCTCAGACCTCAGCTTTGACAGTGAAAGAAGTGGGTTCTAAGCAAAATTTCTTGGCGTAGTATTTGCCCGGTTTGAAGGCGAATGAGTCGACACCACCGTCGATGGTGGGGCACTGGTTAGCATTTCCGGTTCCCTTTACTTCCTTGTATGTTTTGCTTTGGATCTCATCATAGGTTAGCCTCTTTGGAACTCCTTCAGCACTTGCTCCCTTCAGAAACAAGGGTTCTACTTATCACTAAAGTACATAGAAAATTTGACAGATTTCCAACCTATTAATTAAGAATAACTTATATGTTAAGAAAATACTGAACAAATACTATCAAATAATTATTTCAAAGTATTAGAAAAAAACCAAAAGTGGAAAAAACTATACCGAGACAACAAGAAAAGAAGTAACCAACAGGTTCCAAACCAAAGGCCTTAGAAACGTTCAGGGAGGACCTGAGCTGCAGCACGCCAGTCCTAGAGGGTACAGCACACCGACCTTGGTCAATTGCATGAGGGTTGCTGCTGTTTGTAGTGAGGCGGCCATGGTTCAATTTCCTTTTTCTTTTTTTTTCTTGGGGTAAAAAGAAAGTTAGCCCTTTTTCTGTATTTGTGTGGTGAAACTCATATTTGTGGCAATTGTTTGATGGAAGATAAGGGGACAGAATGCATATATTTTGTGTTTGTGCGGAGAAACTGATGAGTGGCAATTATTTAGGTGTAAGATAAAGGATTGGAGAAGGGAAATCTTATGGGTGGAAAGGAAGTAGTGGCTGCCTTTCACACAATCCTATTCGGGCGAGGAAGCCAATATGGTGTGGGTTCATCCCACGGCAGTAAACGAGTCAAATCGAGTTTAAAGATGAGTTCAACTCAACTTGAAAATTTGTAAACTTAAAATTTTTAAACTCGAAATTAAAAATTAAAGTTCGTCTTGAACTCAAAAAAACGAACTTAAAATATTCTTAGACTTAACTCGATTAAATCTCAAATTCAAACTCGTATTTGAACATGAAGTACATAAAAATCTTATATTACATTTTTAAAAAATAACAACATATAAATGTTAATATTATTAATAACTTAATCTAAAAATTATAATTTTAATATTTCTTTTTTCTAGTTGCTCCCGAGTTTTTTTGAGTTGGATATCAAGTAACTTGTTTTGATTCATTAAGAACATGAGTCAAGTTCATACGATTCAAATATTAATTAAATTTTGACAGAAACAAACTCAAGTAATTTAATATCTATCTCATCTCATTTACATTCTTATTTCATTGAATTCAGTCTCTGTTTAATATCAGTCAGGGCAAAATCCAAACCACACTCGTCACCTTTTTATTTTTTTGTTTAAGGAAAGGGGGTTGACCTGCAAAATTAAATAATTAATTTTAAAAAACTAAATTTAGTCCATAAGAAAGTCAAATTTGATTAAAAGTCCATACCGGGTTACAAGGTCCAAATTTAGATCTTTTGCCGTTTAGGGCCCAATTCAATTCAATTAGGGATAACTGCAGTTTACATCTATTCAATTCAGCCCTTAACCTAGCAGTTTGCATATTATTCAATTTAGTGCTTCCTTTAAGGTTTTTTCATTTGATTTATTTTATTTGTTAGATCAGCATTTCTAATCGTAATTCTGCATGATTTAGGGTAAATCTTCTTGTTAGTATTCAGCTCAAATATGATTGGTCAATTGACATTTTTGGCTCTCAAACTTTTTATAAAATTTCATTTTAACCCTTAAGCTTTTTAGAAAATCTTATTGTTAACATGTTTTTATTTATTTTTCATTAGTTAGTTCAGTTCAAAAAATATTAAAAGTTCGAAATCAAAAGAGATGAAAAAAATGTAAAGAGTAAAATGATTTTTTATATTTTATAATTTTCCTTTTTACTTGGATTTAATTGTAGTTATTGGTTTTTTTAATATATAAGTTTGAGGGTAAAAAATTCTAAATGAATAATTAAAAATTAATAATAATTAAGTATCTTGATTCAATTTGCACTTAAAGTCATTGCCGTTGTAGGAAAATTCAATTAAGTCCTTTTTGTAATGAAAATTCATTTTTATCTATCGAATTGTTAATTAGCGTCGATGTGATAAACAAGACTCATATAATAATGACACATATTATCCGCATAAATGGGATTTAACTAATTATTCTTTTATGTTTAAGATTTAATTGGATGTAAGCCGGCAAAAAATAATTGGATGTAAATTGTAAAAATTATTAAAATTTTAATTTTAATTAAGTAGTTAAAGGCTTAAATGATTTTTTTTAATATTAGTGAAGGACTAAAATTAAAAGAAGCCAATATAAAGGATTTTTATATGGTAAAATTAAAATGCTTGTCGAAAACGGAAAGACATGTCGAACTCGAACATAATTAAAAACATGATTTGAAGAAGCCAATATACAAAAGATAATAATCCCATTGTGCTTCCCATTGGATTACATGAAATTTTAGCAAACATGAGGCCTCAAATTACACACACATTCATAATCACTCAATGAGTCAAGCTGAGCATACCAGATACCAGTGATCTTCACATCCTTTGGAGTCTTGGCTACCAAGTCAGTGTCCGATAGCTGAAGGCTCTCAAACACACCGATCACTTCACCGGTCTCCGGCTTGCTTTTCGTAACACTCAATGTGATTTTCCCCGATGAACTAGCCGCACTCTTGTTGTTCTCCTTAGCTAGCTCTTCCTCGTCTCCTCTCCCGCCGGCAGGCAAGGCAACGGCATTGTCGTAACCGGTTGAACCGCCCCTTCCTTTTGGGTCCAAGAAAGACGAACCACGGTAGGAGGGTAAGAGAAAGTCTCCACCGAAGCTCTCGGGTTTGCCTGATGCAACCAGTTGCTTGATGGTGAAAAGGAATGGCACACGTTTTCCACCAGGGAGCTGAACTGTAACAGCAGCGTAATAGATTCCATCTTTCTCCTCGAATTTGACAGTGCTATCGGTAGAAACTTCAAAAGGACTCTCGATTTCGTCGAGGGTGTAGGTTAAACGAGCCATCAGTTTGGTGTTCTGGAACTCTGGAGGGGCATTCTTGCTAACACCCTCAGCTTTGACAGTGAAAGAACAAAGAAGTGGGTTCTAAGCAAAATTTCTTGGCGTAGTATTTGCTGGTTTGAAGGCGAATGAGTCGACACCACCGTCAATGGTGGGGCACTGGTTAGCAGTTCCTGTTCCCTTTACTTCCATGTATGTTTTGCTTTGGATTTCATCATAGGTTAGCCTCTTTGGAACTCCTTCAGCACTAGCTCCCTAGTCCCTTCACAAACAAGGGTTCTAATTATCACTACAGTACATCGAAAATTTGCAAGATTTCCGACCTATTAATTAAGAATTACTTATATATGCTAAGAAAATTCTGAACTATTAACAAAAACGAAAGTGAAAAAAACTATACCGAGACAACAAGAGCATAAGTAGCAAGAGCGAAACCAGCAATCTTGGTAGCATCAACGCACTTTTGGGCCAAGTCTTTAAAGTCAGTTTGCAAAGAGCAATTTAGCCTAGAACAGCAGGCTCCAAACTAAATGCCTTAAAAACGCTGGGGGAGGACCTGAGCTGCAGCAAGCTAGTCCTAGATGGAACACCGACCTTGGCTGGTTGCATGAGGGTTGCTGCTGCTTGTAGTGAGGCTGCCATTGTTCAAAATTTTTACAGAAAAAAAAAGAACTCTTTTTTCTATATTTATGTGGAGAAACTTATATTTGTGGGAAATATTTGGGGTATAAGATAAGGGGATCGGATAAGAGGTGATCTTATCGGTGGAATGAAATACAGAGAGCAACGTAAATGGGATAAAAGATACTGTTGGTTCATAGGGAGATGATGCGGAGAAAACTCGAGATTTCTATGGCTTTCGGGCCATATAAATTTTGGTTGGTTGTCCTTACTTCAATTCAGGGTCACTGTATAATGTATATTGTCATCCCAGGCTGAACTGGGCAAAGTCCAAATCTCTTTCATCGTCTTTGATGTGGTAATTTTAGTTAGGGTTAACTACATAGTTGATCACTTATATTTGTGTTTTATCTACATTTCCTCACTGATTTCCAAAAATATAATATATGGTCACTTTCGTTTTTATTTAATTAAGAAGTGGTCATCACGAGCTAACTATCGTTAATAGTTGATAGATTAGGCGACGTGACAGTTAAATATTTTTATATATTCACACATTTGGTCTCTATTATTTACATATTCTCTCAATTTAATTATACTTTTAATAAATTAAAATAAAGTTAATCCTCCAATCGAATTATGCCATGTGTCATAATAATAAAATATATTTTTAAAAGTTTAGATAAGAATAAAATATATATTTTTAAATAAAAATAAAACATCTTTAAATTAAGTTAATAATAAAATTTATTTAATAAATTAATATAAAAATATCTTTTAAAGTTAATATATATAAAATATTATGAATTTAAGTTAAGTATTTATATAAAAACATATTTTTTTAAAGTTAATATATATAAATAATGGCACGTGGCATCATTTGATTGGAAGGTTAAATTTATTTTAATTTATTAAAAATATAATTAAATTGATAGAATATATAAATAACATGGACTAAATGTGTGATTATACCAAAATATCACGTCACCTAATCTATTAACTATTAACGATAGTTAATCCATAGTGACTATATCTTAATTAAATAAAAACGAAAGTGATTGTATATTATGTTTTTTGAAATCAGTGAGGAAAAGTGGACAAAACAAAAATATAAGTGATCAACCATGTAGTTAACCCTTTTAGTTAATAATTTTGCCTGGTAATTTTAGTTAATAATTTAACAATTACTACTCGAAACAAGATTAAAATAAAATGATAAAATTAGAGAATTTTATTAAATTTACAATTTATGCATAGTATGAGACTAATTGCAAAATAGAAATATTCAAAAAGAGCAAAGATTAAATTAATAATTTATAATTATTAGAGGGCCTAATATCATAATTTGACCAAGTCCAATTTAACATCCTATCGCTTCTAAAAATTATCATATTATTATATAACGATTAAATTGCCTTCAAAATAATTTGATTCTCGCTTGCATAATTTCCTCCAAATTAAAATATTTAATTTTCAAATTTTAAATTCTATTACTTGATAAGATATTTTTAATAATATAAAATAATTTATAAGATAATATATATTTATAATTTTCTTAATCAATTAATAACACATATATTATACAAATGTAATTGTTCAAATTCAAGATCTTTAGAAAGAATAATATTTTCTTTTACCACTGATATCACTTATAGGTTCAATTTAAATATAAGTTAAAATTATAGATAGATTCAGTAAAATTTCTTAAATAACGCAACAGGAAAAAAGAATGACACAAATAGGATGATGATGAATTTCTTTTCATCAATTAGGATGTTTGTTACAATACAAATAGAAAGATTTGGGGAGCACATCGCGAAGATGTTTGAACGACCTAACGATTTTTAAACTGTACAATTTACCTAATTGTATATAATGGAGGAAGACATGTGTCTTCCATACATCCTAAGGCATCATGTCATCTCAAAAACGTCAAATACTCCTCACATTTTTCTATCTATATTATAAACAAATATATATCTTAGTTAAAAAAAAATTAAATTCTTCGTCATCTCATTTAAGCCATTCTTTTTCACACTAGATTATCTAAGAAAGTTTGCCTGCTACATATATGCTTTCTTCACACTCTGACAGATTCCTCTCCCTATGTTTGCTTTTTCAAAATTTGATGAATACATAAAAGATAAATATTATCTGCACTAGAAATGTTATTTCCACTCAAATAAGTAAATAATTTTGACTTGGTGAAATAACAGTTAAAGTAAAGAACTTGGAATAATAATTTATTTATACAACAACAACAACAACAACAAAACCCAATTCCCATATGTATGGGGAATAATTTATTTATGATATTTATTTTGTAAGTTAATTATTACATAAATAGGATATATGTACATTTGGATAGCTTATAATGTTATTCCCACTCAAATAATTGAATTATTCAATAATAAAAGAGAGTACTGTTATTTTTAGAGATTTTAAATTAAAACAATCAATTACATCACGTTGTGAATGACTTAAAAAAGTTTTAAACTAGTATTATATTACTTCAAACTATTAAAAAAATAAAAGAAAAAACAAATAAAATAAATGGTACGAAAATTGAATGGTGGAAATAATAAAAATAAAAATTTTAATTATTCAAATCAAATCAATTATCTAGATAAATAAATAAATCAATTTATTTTTCGCTAAAATTGGAGTTAATTAAATTTATTTAACTGACTGAAGTAGCCAGTTGCACATCACCGGATATAAAAATTTAAAATCATTAAAAATATAGCGGTTGAAAGAAAAAGCAGAGATTCAAAATTAATAGTGATTGAATCTCATCACATCAATTTCATTAAAAATATAGACATTCAGAATGATTAGGAGGTGATTGGTCATCACAAATCTCAGACTTCAACTAATTCGTCCTCATTATGCCTTGCACAAAACTAATCCACTTTTTTAAAAACGAAAAAATGAATTTCTCTCAGACAAATGCCTCGAATTGTCGTCACGATTTGAAAGAATGGAAAATCGGACTCGTCATCGTATTCGATCATCACAGGGAAATCGTAATCTTTCAGTTCAATAAAAACTCTGAAAACGGAAGAGATAGCAAGGGGAAAAATACTTTCCCGTAGGACTCGTCAGATTTAAGCAGGAAAAAAACTAAAGTGAGGCTATGACAAGAATTGCTTCAGAGTTTATTATATAGACGAGATGGGATTTAGGGTTAGGGTTTCCACTTTCTACCGTCTTTCAAAATTTTCCTACTTATTGGCCTCATTTCATGGCCCCTGCTTTAAGCTGTGAGGATGTGGCCCAACCAAGTTCAATCCTCATATTTTTTTTTGGGTAAACTATGTATTTAGTCACCCAACTATATAATATGCTCCACTGCAGTCATTCAACTATTTTTTATTTCAAAATCATACATAATATTACGTTTTGATTTCATTTTGGTCACTTACCATTAAAAAAGTAATACAATTGCATTTTTTTAAATTTTTTTCAATAATGACATGAAATTATCTTATGATAACACGTCAGTATCAACATTAATTTTTGGCTTAATGTAAAATTAAGTACCTAAAGTTAACTTTATATGCCTAAAGAATTTTTACTTAAAATAAGTGTTTAATATTTCTAACGTTATACTTTTAGGTATATATACATAAGGGTCGTAAAAAATGTTATCTGACACGTGTTGTGTTTATATTTTTTAAATTTTAAAAAAAACAAAAATATTATCTAAAAAATTTAACCCCCACGTGTCTCCTACCTCCCTTCCCTTGCGCCGCGGTTGGTGTCACCAGCCAAACGAAGCAGAAATTCTTCCTGTCGTTCATGTGGTGTTAGGATTAAATTGCAAACGATTGGCCACGCATATGCGAATTCCCCGTCATATTTTGTGCTAGTCCCCCCGCCCGCGTTCATATATACCCATTAAAGTGTGCTAGTTCCCCCGCCCCCGTTCATATCTACCCATTAAAGCATACCAAAAATTAATGAAATCCCTTGTGTTCATGTCTACCCATTAATTAAAGGTTATGGAGCTTGACTAAATCCCCTTGGTTTGTGTGTGACCGGTGAAACTCCTATGGAAAATCTCGCTTGCTTTGTGCATGGTCGGTGAAACTCTGATGTGGGTATATTATGGGTTTTAAAACTTTAGGAAATTAGGGTGTAAGGATTTAGTGATTTTGGGTGACGGAAAGAACAATGGTAAGTTAGTGGTTCGACGTTCAACGGTAGAGATGGTTGCCGGAGATGATCGGCGACGACTGGAAATATGATTTGAAATTAAAGATTTTAGGATTTTGGATTTAAAAAAAAAAAGAATTAGGTCTTTTTTTAAAAATAATAATATTTTTAATATAAATTTTTCAAAATAAAATATAAACATGACATGTGTCAAATAATAATTTTTTAACGATAATTACAGTATAGACACCTAAACGTGTAACGTTGAACATTTTAGGCACCTATCTTGAGCGAAATTTTTTTAGGCATCTAATGTTAACTTTAGGTTTGTTTAGGCAGTTATTTTTACATTAATCCTTAATTTTTTAAGGGTAGATGAACAAAATGTAACAAAAAATTTACGTTAGATATGATTTTGAAACAAAAAAATAGTTAAATGATCAAAACAAAACCGCAAGAATAAATAAATGACTAAATATGTAGTTTACCTTATATTTTTTAGAAATAAGCATATCACCTAAATTTAAATTGAATTATTATTTGGTACAGAAGTTATCTAAATTTTATTTTATATAATTTATTTATTTAAATCTTAAATTTCAATATATTGAGTCCTGAATTTAGACCTTAAATTCTAAAATAATGTTATCTTCATAAAAAAAATTAAAACATATAGTATATGTGAATAATAAAATCCCACATTTACAATGAATAATAATTGTAATAGTTGGATTGGAATAATATTTATTCTTTCAACAGAAGTCCCAACTACATATACAAATGAAAGTTTCCAAGTGATTTACTTTCCTGTACACATTTGCAATGCACCATGCACAAGATTATATAACTAATAGTACTTTGATTTTATTCATCCATACATTTTGAAAAGGAAAAAAAAAGAAGGTTACTGTCAACAGTACATTGACAATTATGAAGCAGAATTACAATGTTTTTAATTTATGGAGCACCCGACATGCACTCAGAGCACTTATGAAGATCGCTAGTTGCCTGCAAAAGAAAAATCCATATGTAATTACAACAATGCTTTTTAATTGGAGCTGTAAGTAAAAAAAAACTAATTAGAAAAGAAAAAACCAATAATACTTGAAGCTCGAGTTGCAGTGGCTGCTTGATTGGTGTTTGTTGCATTATTTGTGGATGGGGTGATGGCAACAACGCCGGGCCATGATCGGCACATGCAGCGTTTTCCTTCATCGATGCTCGCATATAGCGTCGACAAGTGCTTGCTGCAACCGGCCCAAGAGTATTTGCCACATTGCTTGCAATCCACTTTATAACACATTTTTTTTTCTCTCAAACAATTATCTGATATCAAAGATGGTGCCGATACTGGTGTTCGTTTCCGATTTTATAGTGAAAACATTTTGCTTTGATGTAATCGACCCATTTTGTCACATTGTTGGCTTAATTAATTAGCTGAAACAATTAATCGCTTAGGCCTTACTGGTTGTATCGCTTTGCTTAGTTTAGATTCTTTTATTGGATATGATCGAAAGATTGGGATTGACACCTTCTAAGCTCGAATTTCAGACCCTTCCAACATTAGCACTATACCTTAACAAGCACTGCTCCTACTACACCTACAGCACATGTGTAATGCTCATGGATGATCAAATTATTTGAATTTGACATGTTTGACTTAATTTGATATAATCCTATATGATCATGATTATTTTAAAATTTTGGTTTAGGACAAATTTTGTGAAGAAAAGAGAAAATCAAGATTAGAATAAAAAAATCATAAATTAACCCAATTCAACAAGAAATAATTATAAAAAATATCTTATATATATTTAAGGATAATTATTATAGTATATATATATATTCAATTATCTCTATGTAACGCCTCGATTTTCTAAGTCAATGTGTGAAGGTTGACTTGAGAGATATACGGAACGCGTGGAGTTGATAATTGAAGTCGTTCGGTTGAATATGGACCCAATTATATGTAAATTGAGCTCTATTGAGTATTGACCATAAAATTGATTTTTAAATATAAGGCAAACGAGAAAGGACATATAGTGCAATTAAACCCTTGTTAAAAAATAATGTAGATTTTGTAGGATTACGGGAAAAGGTGACGAGCTTTTATATCTCTCACCGGCTTCTTCTTCTTTTTCTCATTTTTCTTCCCCAAGTGACATAGTTCAAAGGCAAGTGTTATGATTTCCATTCATGCTACTTTAAGCTCTAAAACTCGTCTTATAGTCTTCTTACAACATCTTTAGTAATTAAGAAGTCATTCTTTTCTTGTTGCTAGAGAAAATTGGGGAAGAATATTTAAGTTTAAGAGGATTTGAGTATTTAATCATTTTTAAGGGTTTTGCATGATCCATACTATAGATGACGTTTATATTGTCAAGTTTGTGTTTTTATGGTATTCGATGACCTTATATATGTAACTCCTTTAAGTTTTAGAAAATGATTTTTGCTTAAACTAGAGTATTTAGAAGAGTTTTAAGGTTATTTTGAGCCTTATTTTGAGTTTTTTTTGTATTATCGATATCATATGAAGTTAGCCTTAAAATATGATTTTATAAAAATATTATCAATTTTGGTTCATATAATATCGATATTATTCATAGAGTTTCAATATTCCATTCAATAGAATGAGTACTGCTCACTTCATAGATTTTTTTTTGTATTAATACCATTAGTATTAATATTCCTAATTTGGTATTGATTCTATTAAGCGAATATTGATGTCTTTAGTGGTCAATTTTTTAATTTTCTCCTTTTTTTCATAGACAAGAAATACATTATGGTCAACTCAAAATATGTTTGGATTAGACATTGATACCCATTATGAGTGTAGCTACGTTGGACAATGCTTAATTAGTACTAAATAGATTATGAACTAATATGATTGTGAAGAACGCTCATTATTTCAATAATGTTTTTATCCAAAATGTTATGAATCTATAAATATCTAAATAACAAGTAAGAACAATAATTTTAGGGTGAATTCACGAGATAATGTTCTCGATTTTTTTTTTCACGATATGGTGCACATCCCAGATTAATTGCTGGAATGGGGTGAATTCAACAGTGATCGCCATAGGACGCCATGTAGTCCCGGCGATCTTGTAAGACGCCATGCAATCCAGGCGACATACGGGGTGACAATACGAGGGTGACATATGAGCCATAAACGAGCCATACGGGGTGACATACGAGGGTGACATACGAGCCATATACGAGGGGAGCATGCAGGAATAGAGAGGTCGCCATGCAGCCTAGGCGACCTTGTAGGTCGCCATGTAGTCCCGGCGACCTTGTAGGTCGCCATGTAGTCCCGACGACCCTCTAGGTCGCCATGTAGTCCCGACGCCATTCCCATCATCCATGCACAACCACATAGATTCCTTCACGTGCTCCCCGCTGCATGCCTACAGCTCCCAATGCATGCATGTGAACCATTTGAGCCAATGCATGCATGTGAACCGTTTGAGCCGTGAATTATTGGTACAATAATTGAACCATTGCTGCGTGAAATCAGCTGATGCTATCATAACTGCAATTGTACAATTATTGGTGAAATAATTGAGACAGCCGGTTATAAAAGAAAAAAAGAAATGGAGAAGAGATTGCAGAAGAAAGGCAGCCGGGACTACATGGCGACCTATGGCGATCACTGTTGAATTCACCCTATTCCAGCAATTAATCTGGGATGTGCACCATATCGTGAAAAAAAAAATTCGAGAACATTATCTCGTGAATTCACCCAACTTAGTAAGGATACAAAATAAAGACATAAGATAAAGTCAAAACTGCAATAAATATACAGGGTGCTTCTCCTAGAATCGAAGACCATAAGCCTCTTCAAGAAGAGAGTAACTTTTA